CAGGATAAAGCAAAAACAAATGCAATGTACCAAATACCGAAACGATGCTAAGATTCGTGGTCAGTACTCTGCCAGTAACAAACAAGCTGATGTCGACAAACCCCGTACTCATCAGGGGTTACGTAATGCAGGGTTAAAACCCGAAACAGAAGCTTTTATTCTTGATGCACAGGACCAATGCTTGCTAACCAGAATTTAGCAAGCACGCTAACAGAAAAATCATATTACCCCGAAATGAAGATTCTGTGATAAATATCCAGAAACAATTGACCATCTTGTATCAGGTGGCACAGTGTTAACACCAAATGAATATAAAATTCGGCATGATGAAGTGGGCCAATATCTGCACTGGAAAATATGCAACTTTTACGGGAAGGAAACTGCAAGAAACTGATATGAATATCACCCAGACCCGGTTAGAGAGATATGACCTGTAACAATTTTACGAGACTTTACAATACATAATACAATCAAATCTAATCGGCCAGACATCATGATCAAAGATCACAAGAACAGAATGTGATTTCTTATTCACATCGCAGTCTCTGCCGATTGTAATGTATTTTTGAAGAACTTCAATAAACTATCAACATACAAACATCTTGAAGAGGAAATCTAAAAATGTGGTACATGAAGACATCAATAATTCCAGTTGTAGTTGGAGCCCTCGGATTTAATGAAAAAGGTTCCGATAGACTCATTGAAGGGATCCCTAGTAGCCAATGCCTTAAAGAAATACAAAAAATTGTAGTCATAAATATAGCTCACACTTTAAGAAGGGCTTTATCTATGTAAAACATGTTTGCTCTTAGGTTTAATTTTGTATTTTATAAAAATGCACCGTGGAAAATCTTATGATGCCATTTTGACATTAAATCTCTTGTTGGGAGCCGAGATCAAATGTATATACAACAGAAATCAAAGGAAATAATATGATAATATATTATCCATGATAAAATGTTAATGATAATATTAGCCATTTGCTTATAAGGAACCATTCGGCATTCATTGAGTGAGCAGCCAGTGTTGATGTCGGTTGAAATTTAGGTAGTCTTTCATTTAAAACAATTTTTCAGGAAAATGTTTTTCTAAGTTCTGAGTATCTTTTATCGTTATTTCCAGTATTGATCGAAGTTTACTTTTCTAAGCTTTTAGTTAAAGTTATGTGGAATGTCATCATCTTGATTATGTGCTTGCCTCTTCAAATTAAATGTGATGTACACTTAAGTTGTTGCTTTTATTAAATATCCTCAAGTCATTTATTTTCTCTTGTTTGGTAGAGTACTTTGTTTGTGATTTTGTAGCGCCAGTCTACAAGAGATAAATAAAATAAATGATAATAATAACTGTAGAACTAATTAATATTTATCATATGATGACCATAGCAGTAGTAGTCATAATTATAGTAATACAACTAATATAAAAGAAACGCAGAGAAACAGTATAAGAAAATAGATAATTGATCAATAAATCATGTCTTGTTATATATATATATATATATATATATATATATATATATATATATATATAAAATTGGTATCACCCCATGCAAAGCAGTAATGCCACAAGAACAAAAGGGGTTACAGGGTGGGAAAGAATTAGGAAAATAAACAATAATTATGAGCAGGAAGAGAAGTGTGTAACCGGGTGGACAGTAGATAGCGATTGAAGTTGGCTGTAAAGCATGCAGCCGGAAGTGAGTTCCACAAGCAGAAAGTACGAGAAAAGAAACTGTTAGCATAGAATTTATGGCTACATTTAGTCAGCTCAACTGTAAATTGATGGGATTCTAATACTGTACCTAAATTCAACAACTTTAGGTACAATAGCAAAGAGCTCAAACAAACAATTACCATGAAAGTATTTATAGAAAAGACATAGACAGGTAACCTTACGGCGGTAGGTAAGTGACTGAAGCCGAGCCGCCAGATTAGGACAAATAATATTGCAGATTCATCTTTGGATCTTATCAAGGAGAACAAGGTAAATAGCAGAAGCAGCGGACCCTATGTGGCTGCAATATTATAAGCATGGTAGACTTATAAATATGTAAGATAGATTCTGGGTAGAAAAATTGTCTTGCCCGACATAGTGAAACAACGTTCTTAGTAGATGACCTAGCAATGGATTCAATATAGTCTTTACACTTCATATCAGCAGAGAACGTGAGCCTGAGAAGGCACAACGAGTCAATTTCCTGAAGGATATCATCGGCCATGCTGACGGAAAGCAGAAGAGGTGTCTCAGATTATTAATAGAGAGTAGTTTTGTTTTAGAGGCATTACAATTAACAAGGCATTCTTTGCCACAGTTAATAACGGACGAGGCCTTTTTAGGCATCGACTGCTATTTTGACCTTGTCAGACTGATAAGCCTAAATATTCAGGCAGGAGTAATGTGTTGTGTTACCAGCGTAGGCAGCAATTTGAGAGCTAATGTCATGGGGAAGCTGATTAATGAAAATTAAAAGTAGAGTAGGACATAGAATAGAGGCCGGCATTAGTACAAAAGGATCTGATAGGAAAAACTGGATCAGTTCAAAAAAGTGTCCGCAGACATCGTAACTTTTCACCTTGTGGAGAAGACTTTCGAAATGTACAGTGCAACAATCCTGGATTCACCATTTTTATCTAGAGCATGATAAACTATTTCTGCAAATATCTTCAGTACATCAGCAGTTGACCTGTAAAAACGAAAGTCATATTGCTTGTCTGGGAAAAGTCCTGCAATGAGGGATGATAAAACAATTCAGTATTGATTACGGTCTTTAGAAGTATGGCTATTACAGGGTTACCATCAGATCCACATGCTTTGTGGAGATCAAAGTTAGAGATGATAGTAAAAACCATGGACGGGTTTATATGCATATCACTCAACAGAGACTCAGTTTTAGGAGGGAAGTCAGGCAGAGATATTCCGGATGAGTCAAGAGTAAAGTCTGAGGAAAATTTACATTCAACTTTATCTTTATTTATATTGATTGAATATTTAATGTTCTATTACAGAACCGCCAGTAATACCGAGAGTTAAAGTTGTTAGAGGCTATGCGGTGCCTCATTTTCTCGGCAAAGAGGTATTTTGCTCTTCGAGGATTCGCTTACATTTATTGCGAGTACCAACGAATAGGCGCCTGTTGTGATGAGAGCCGCCATTCTAATATAGCCGAAAATAGTTGTTCCTGTGTCCCATAGCGGACGAGCATGCTGGTATGAACCATGGAGAGGGTTGAAGTTTCACCTGGTATTTCCGAGAAGGGATGAAAGCATCCCAAGAAGAAACCTCAGTGGCGTAATTTTCAATTGGGAGTTTAAAGATATCAGTCCAAGGAGCTTCACAGAGAAAATCACGGAGTGAGTCTCAATCAGCATGCTGGTAATGGAAAGAGGTTTTGTGGATACTTGTTTAATAGAGGATTGGAACGAAATATCAATAGCTACCACAGTGTGGTCAGAATTACCAAGATGCGAAGCTCGCCAAGAGCGAGGAGAGGTGGTAAAAAATAAATCAAGTAGAAAAGCATGTTGCTTGGTTTTGCTAGGGGAAATCCCACGATTTGAGTAAGGGATTAGGCAATAGAAAAAATTAATGTCTGAACACTGGCAACATCAGTCCCTTTAGAATATTTAAACCACGTGTTGGGGTGAGCATTAAGTCACCAAAGACAAAGATGTTCGCAAATGGGTGGAGGGAAAGTGCCTTTTCTGTACTGTCAGCAACTATGTCTGGTATACTTCAGTCCTAGGAAGAGGGAGAGCGATAAAGGAAAAAGAGATAGCTAGCAGTGTTTAGTAACGAAGACGGAATCACATAAAGGAGTAGTCTGGTGTCTGGAGAGACAATTCCCTGTCCATCGAAAGATTATCCCGGATGTAATTACCAAGGATGTATATTATGTTTATTTGTATTTTGATCCTCTCAGCTCTTCGGATCAACTTCTTCATGTTGATAGTAAATTCATTAACTAAAGCGCCGTATTTTTTTTATTTCTTTTACTTTCTCAAGTATCTTCAATCTCATCCAAGATCATCTTCAGAGGTGAATTGCTAAGACAAAAATAATGAAATTGATAGTTGTTAATTTTTTGTAAATGCGGTTGAAACGCGCTCTCTTATAATAATAAACACGTATGAAGGCGTTCGCTCTGTTATAATTGTTCTTGGGAAAATAAGAGAAATGAAAAAAAAAACTACAGCGCCTTCCTTAATGAATTTAATATCAACATTAAGAATTTGATCCGAGAATTTGAGAGGGTTAAAATAAAAATAGTCATAATATATGCAGATTATTCAACCAAACACGCTTGAATGAAGATATGCTGCCTATATATATATATATATATATATATATATATATATATATATATATATATATGGAAGTTTGTGAGAGAGAAAGTGTGGATAAGGTTACCTTAAATGACGAATGATAGTGCTATCATCTGCTATCGGAACAGAGCGTTAATTGTTTACAAACCTGTATTTGCTAATGAAAAAACTAAAATCCGACATGTCTCTCTAAGCTGAACAATTGTATTTGTGTGTATCATTACATAGTCGAAGATCTGCTGGCTTTTGCCTTAAAACACGCGTGACTGTTGTGCCCAAAATGAAAGGCTTTTTACTATCTTCGCAGTAGAGCTGAATCAATTTGTGTATCTCGCAACTATTGAAACAGCAAATAGGAAAGGTAAGTCAATAGGAAATATATATTAGGTGATGAGGACAGTGTAAGAAAGAGTAGTAGATACATTTAAACAATAAAAAAACAAAGAAAGAGGAAGACAGTAAAGAATGGAGTCAACTTTTTTAACTTAAGATAGCCTTTGACTGACGTATAACCGAAGTGTTATTCGAGCCATGAAGAAGACGAAAAAATGAATCAAGTTAGCAGCTGGAGTGGGTTAGATAAGAAAGTGGTTTTCAGAAAGAAAGAAAGTCTAAACAAAAAGTGTAAAATTAAAATGTTAAAACAAAAATAAATCCTTTAAATTCTGTAAAAGCATATCAAGAAAGAAAGAAAGAAAGAAAGAAAGAAAGAAAGAAAGAAAGAAAAAAAGCAAGAAAAAGAGAGATAGAAAAACGAGAAAGTGAATGAAAGAAAAAAAAAACTTAAAAGGAAAAATGAATAAAGAATAGTAGAAAAAGAAATAGGAAAAAATAAAGAAAGAGGGAGAAAAGTAATAAAAAAGAAATAAAGGTATAAAATGACATAATTAAAAAACCTATTCTTACCTATATATTTACAAAGAATGAATGAATGAGTGAATGATATAATGATAGATAAAATGAGAGAATGGAACAAAAGAGAAAGAAAATATTAGAGTAAAAAGAATAAAGAAAAAACGTACTTATAGATTGTAAGAAAGAAAAAGTAAGCAAACAAAAAGAGCAAAAATAAAAAATAGAAAAGTAAATTAAATAGGAAGAAAAAAAAAGGAAGACAAGAAAGAAAGAGAAAATAATGGAATGGGAAAAACAAAGACAGGGCAAAAAAAATAAAAGGAGATAAAGAAAGGGTGACACCAAAATAGAGAGTGGTGAAAAAGAAGGAAAGCCAGTAAAAAGAAAGAAAATGTAAATGGTTATTGTACAGTAAGGAGCATAAGTAGATGTCGAGAAAGATGTCAGCGAGAAATGGAGTGAGAGAAAAAGAGAAAAGCCAGCAAACTAAACAAAACAAAACTATTCAAATTATGGGTGGGGCGAGCGTAAGGAGGTGCCGGGTGTGCCCATAATAGACGTTAATCGGCGATCTACCGTCGGTGAAGAGGGACACCGCTTAGATAAGCCGAGCTTTCAGGCTAGAGAAGCAGCTTCGACAATAGTGATGCTCCAATTGCTACCACGATTTCATTGAAAGCACTCCAATCTGTTTCTCAGGAGTCAAGCACCTTTCCTTAGGCTTAGTCAAAGCTGCATGCCCCATCTTCTATTCTTTTCCACACTTTAACAATCCTCCCAATACCAGAAATCCCTCAGCCTTGTAATTTTACTCATTCTTTTTTCTTATCTTTATCTTGTAATTTGAATCTATCTATCTATCTATCTATCTATCTATCTATCTATCTATCTATCTATCTATCTATCTATCTTAGCTCTCAATTACGTGTCTGTTCATATAACAAATCAATGATTATTCACTATAATTATAGAACAAAGTAGTTGGCTGAATAGTGATAATCACAATACGCATATAGGTGAATTATATTTTAAGACGAAATCGCACTCGGTAAATGTCTAATCAGTCAATGAACGTCGTTTTTTAACTAGTTTCGTCTGTTTTTGCATCTACAAATGCGTGAAGAAAACATCACGCACACGGACACAACCACATACACGCACACACAAAAATACACACACAAATACACACGCGCGCGCACACACACATATAACGATATGTCTTGGGCACCTCGGGGTGGCGTAATGGTTAGAAAGCTTGTCTCGCTAGAACAATTACAACTGAGTAGTGAGTTCAATCCTCACTGGGTGCCCCTTACTTTCGGCCTTGTGCCACATCCAAGCTACGCTTGGAAAATCACTATAACGATATACCTGTATTATGTAAGTGTGTTTGTTTTTGAGTTGCTGAATAAAATATATATTTCGAAGAATTTTATATTAATATACGTATGTGTATGTGTTTGTGTAATATTGCAAAAGACTTTTATTAGTTTATCAAAAGTTTCTCATGAAATCTCGAAATGTGTTTTTAGATTATCAATATTCCATGAGCCAAGATTATCTTCAAACAGGTATCCTCAGGCAGTTTCGGATAGAAACAGGGATGCGGGGATGATAACTTTCGGTTCAAAGACGACGAATTCAAAAACGACGAATTCAAAGACGACGAATTCAAAGAGGTATAAGTTACCATTTTTTAAGGTCGGTTAAATTTTTGGTGAATATTAAATGGTTATATCAATTCCATTATGTATTAGAACAGAATATTATACGCGTAACTGTGAATTTACATAGTGATCCAAAAGTAGAAATTAACTTTTGAAACGTAAAATATAAAATTTACTTAAAGTTTATTTAAAATTCAATAATTCATATTTAAAACTATTGAATATCTTAAATGCCAACATTATTACCATAGTTTTATATACATTCTAAGATAACATCAAATAAAAGATCGTAGTTTAAGATAACATCAAATAAAGATCGTAGTTTAAGATAACATCAAATTCATATTATACGTGTTTGAAGAGATATCAAATTTTCTTAATAAAAAACGAGAAAGCGGGGTGATTCTTTCAAGATTGTACGAAGATGTCAAAGTCAAATCATCTTCTGTATATTTAATCAGAAATTATGACTTGATTCATTTAATATTGTCCCAAAATGTTGCATTTAATTCCTACGAATGAAAGTATAACAGTTAGTATCACACCTTCAGCGATCATCTGAATATCTGTACACACACACACACACACGTACAGGCTCGCACACACACACACACACACACACGTACAGGCTCGCACACACACACACACACACACACACACACACATATATATATATATATATATATATATATATATATATATATATATATATATATATATATATATATATATATATCATTATATAGATAGATATAGATATATATATATTGAAAAGGTTGTCAGTTTTATGGAAAGAAGGCCAGCATTCAGTTATGACGATTGCAATAACGCACGCAGAGTTTTAAAAAAATCAAGAAAAAGGCAAAATGAAATGCGGAAAAAAGTTGAGAATGACATTAGAAAAGAAAGACTCATGCAACAGCGATTAAAAAAATCCTTGTTACATTATTTGTTTTTCGTTAACATTACATAATTTATTTCTTTTTCCTTAAAATCGGCTCCGTTATATTTCACTCACCATTAGCTTATTTTGTTTACTGTAAAACATTGAGAATAAATGTTAAACCTGTTTTCAGTTCTTTTATTTTAATCTAAATATAACTCCGCATATCCGGAATTTGTAACAAATTCCTCATACCCGGAAAGCCTTCTTAGTCCGGTTGTCAGGGACTCTACTGTAGTTAGAAGTAATGGGGTTTTAAGTATTACAAAATATTTTGAAATTCAATATTATTGAAGAAATTTAGAATGCAATTCAACAAAAACTTGACCCAAGTCAAAAAAACAAAAACAAAAAAAAGAACGAAGAAATAATCTATAAATAAAAAATTGATAAAAACATCTTCTTCAACGATATGAGCAGCAAGTCTCCCCAATCTCAGATCTTTTATGAATAATAATAATAATAATAATCAATGCTAATCGCCATGACATCGTGATTAGACAATGCAAACACAAAGCATGTCTCCTTATTGACATGGCAGTCCCTGCAGACTGCAATGTATCTTTGAAGATATTAAAAAACTATCAAAATACAAGGGCCTTGAAATCGAAATCTCAAAAATGTGTAACATGAGGACATTAACAATTCCAGTTAAATTCCTCGGATTGATTGGAAAAGATTCCAATAGACCCAAAGAAGAGATTCCCGGTAGCGCATGCATTAAAGAAATACCAAAAAATGTACTCACAAGTACATCTCAAACATTACGAAGTGCTTTAGCTATATAAAATGTGTGTGATCTTAGGTTTTGTTTTGTTTTGTTTTTTTACAAAAAAAATGATCAATGGAAGCTATGAAGCCATTTCTGTATTTAGGTCTCTGGTTAGGAAATGCGTATACAATAGAGACCCTACGCAATAATAATAATAATAATAATAATAATAATAATAATAATAATAATAAGAAGAAGAAGAAGAAGAATATAATGATATCAACAACAAAATTAAGGAACTAGACCAAGATGGCAAATACAAATGCTTGGGAATACAACATTCAATTATGAAGAAAAAGATCCGAAAAGATTATTATAGGAGAGTGCGTTTGATACTAGAAAGTGAACTTAATGGGACCAATAAAATGATGGCTATCAACACCACAGCTATACTCGTAGTAACATACAGCTTCAACATTATTAAATTGAAATTGAGTGACATTAAACGATTGGATACCACGACACAAAAAATGCTTACCCAAATGTGGATGTACCAACCGAAATCAGATGTTGATAGGCTGTGCGTACCAAGAGCTTTAGGAGGTCGAGGTTTAATCCAACTTGAACTAACTCTAAAAACTACAACAATCAGATTGGAAGCATACCTAAAAAAAAACAATAACCCTCACTTACACATAGTAAAACAACAGATCCACTCAATCAACAAAGAAGATGTACTCTTCAAGAAACAGCTTAATATACATGGAATCCAACAAACAAAAACTGAAGCGAATACCAAACAAGTAAAACAGAAAGCAAAACAACTTGGTCAAATGAAATTACTAAAAAAAAAAAATTGGAGGACAAGGCACTGTATGGGAAATACCTAAAAGGAACGAAAGAAGCAGATGCGGATCAACGAAAGAAGCAGATGCGGATCAAAGAAAGAAGCAGATGCGGATCAACGAAAGAAGCAGATGCGGATCAACGAAAGAAGCAGATGCGGATCAACGAAAACACATCAGTGGCTGAGGAGCACACTGGATTGAAAGCTGAGACATAAATTTTTGCAACTCAGGACCAAAGTCGCGCAACCAGATCCTATCACTGTCAGGCAATCTAGGATAGAAGTAACCCGAAATGCAGGAACTGCGAAAAATATGATGAAATGTCGAACATCGTATCTTACGATGTTCGAAACTAACAAATAATGAATATACTCACAGACATAACACGATAGCGACATATGTGCTCTGGAAGATATGCAAGAAGCACAAAATCGAAACCGCTGACAGATGGTATGAGCACTAACCAGACACAGTTACCCAAAATAATTATGTAACTATCTTCTGTGACATGTCAATTCAAACAAACAGGAAAATGAAACTATCATAAAAAGCAAGAAATTCAGGAAGTGTATACTTAATGACATAGCACTACGATCTGAGAGAAACCCCTTTATGAAAATTATTGAGAAAGTTTCCAAATACAAGGACCCGGAGATCGACATTAATAGGATGTGGGGAATGAACACTGGTGCTCTACCAATAGTAATCTGAGTTCTGGGTCTCGAAAGAAAAGGAATGGCAATTTTACTAAAAGTATCCCAGGTAACATCAATATGCAAGTTGCCCAGAAGATCGCCCTACTAGGAACAACCCATATGCTAAAAAAAAGTACTATCAATTAAATGGAAATTCTCCTATAGGACCGTAGTTTGAACACGGCTCTACAGGATACAGAAAACATAACATGCAACAAAAACAACAGCAGTAGCAACAACAACAACAACAATAATAATAATGATAATAATAATAATAATAATAATAATAATAATAATAATACTAATGGGCGCGCTGAGAACTTCACCTACAAAACCGAAAAGACGCTAAAGCAGAATTGTGATTGAGACAAAGATTGTAAACCTCCAGAAAACTGACATCATTATTCTGCGAGGATTCTCCGAAAAAGTTATTGTGTTGTGAGGAGTCTTGTTGATATCATTCCTCAAGAACAGAATTTCCATTGACAATGCACGATACCAAAATAAACTAAAATAGAAATATGCAACATAACCGTCAAATATAAATTACAATGCATCTTAATTTACTTAAAGAAGAAAATATTTTTAAAAATTATGATAAGAACCAAAATTCTAACAAAGTTTTAACCAGCAAAATAATTTTTTTGTAAAAAAAAGTGATGTTTAGGAACTCTTAAACAAATTGAAGTATAATTTTATATTACAAACCACATTTGTGGATCAGCATATGTTCAAAAATGAAGAAAAAAGAACTTCGGATAAAAATTCATAGGATGAACAAGATACTCTCATGAAATGTAACTAAATGAGGTTTAGTTTTCAAAATTGTACCTCTTGAGGTCCATACACTTCTTTCATCAGCGTTGTAAATGTTTGGATC